AGGAATAGCCAAAAGGGCCCAATACTGTTCCTTGTGGTACGCCAATCGAAACATTTTCCATTGTTGACTCAAATAATTTTTGCTCGCCATTTTCACCCACACCAAAAAGTTGAACAAGTTGTTTTCTATCAGTAAGAAAGGACTTTAACCAAAGGAGGGATACATCATCAATTCCAAATTTTTTCAGTTTTGCAAGCAGTATTTCGGGAACGACACACCCAAAGGCATTAGAAAAGTCATACAGAATCACATTGATTTTTTCTCTATTTTCCAACGAATCGTAGATTTCGGACACTAACTTAAAAAGTGCAGTCACTGTGCTCCTGCCTTTTCGAAAACCGTGCTGCTCGTCCGCAAGGAGATTGTTTTCAGCGAAATAGCTTTCAATTCTATTTAGGAAACATTTCTCAAATACTTTTGCTACAGAAGATGTTAAGGCTATTGGGCGATAACTACTAGCATCGGATTTCTCACCCTTCTTTTTGTACAATGGCTTGATTACAGTTAATTTTAGCACTTCCGGGAATTTACCAGTGCGAAACGACTCATTCACCATAAATGCCACAGGGAACACTATATAACCAGAAATCTTTTTCAACGTATCCATAGATAATCCATCCCAGCTAGATGATTTCTTTGACGGGAATAACTTCAAAATTTTTTCTATTTCAAATGGGGTAACGTCAGGCTGAGCAGTAAATTTTATTCCATTTGAAACAATACTCTCAGTACAGAGTTCAATTTCATCACTACTAAGATTTACCTGAGGTTCAACAAATTTTTTATTTAAAAAGTTGCAAATTTTCTGTAAATCCTTTTCCATTTCACCATCAATTTCAATTTGCTTAATATCATTTTCGTGTTTATCTTGGTTCAAGTTGCAAGTTTCGTTAATAATTTTCCAGGCCATACCAGTCTTATTAGAGGCTTTTAACATTTTCTGGTCATTGTGAGTTCGGACTGCATCATTTATGAGAAAGCCAACGTACTTTTGTTTACTTTTATATTTGAATTTAAGACTTCTTAATCTGTCACAGTTAGGATCATTCCTTTTCAGTGTAGATATTTGGGCACCCAAGAGCCTTAATTCTTCCTTTTGCTTACGAAGAAACTCAGAATCGGCATTATTTTTCCTATTTACTCTAATTAATATTTTCTCCTTTGGGAAACTCATTTCAAAGTACATAGTAAGCTTATCCATGAATTTACAGCACATATCATCAATATCATCACTTTCATAAACTTCGGTCCAACTTTCTGTACTTAAGAGGTGGAAAAATTCAGTCCAGTTACTGTCAGAGAATCTCCTGATAATTTTGTAATAATCTCTATCGAGTTCAATTGGAATTTGAAAATTAACAGACACCATTCTATGGTCGCTAAAAAATACATCACTGACAAAAGAAGTATGCGAGCACTTTAAGGAACTAAATACATGATCAATCAAAGTTGCTGATGTGTTTGTAACCCGGGTAGCTTCGATTCCATTTACCAGTGACATTTCATAGCCATCCATTAAGTTCAGTAATTTCATTTTATCAGCATTGTCTGAGTTAAGATCAACATTCAAATCACCAACTAGTAACATCTCTTTCTCTGGACTTATAAACTTCTCAATAAGATTTTCCAAATTTTCAATGAAGAACTCAATATCTCTGTTTTCAGGATTACTCGGTCGGTACACCGTCAAAAGCGTAATAATTCGATTTGCAACCTTCAATTCAACTCCACAAGTTTCGAATCTAAATTCAATAGAAGTTGGAAATAGTTTCTTGCAATTAAATTTGAGGCCTTTTTTGACTAAAATTAGCACTCCCCCTCTTTCTCTTATCTTACGGCCAAAGAAAGTAACAGTTTTATAATTAGTTATGCTAAAATGTTTGACTTCCTTAGAACAGAGCCAATGCTCATTTATTACAATGATTGAGGGCTTTTCGCGCAAATTAGTTATGTAATTTTCGAAATTCGCTAATTTTTCTGCAGATTTAACGCCTTGGATATTTAAAAGAGCGATTTTCAAATTTTCAACTTTACTTTGACCATTCTTTTTTACGCGACCTTGTGGAGAGACTTGCTGATTGCGTTTTTTGAGCTCTTTCTGTAATTAATCGTTACGGACTTGGAAGGCGATGGTGCTGCAATCTTCGGAGACGGTTTGGTTGAAGCGCGCAGCGTACTGGTGCGAGTAGCAGCTACTTTCTGCAGTGAACGTTTCCTGCCCTCAGGATGTGACTCACGTAATTGTTCAGTCAACGCATCGATGCTGCGTCTCACTCCGGCCATCTGGTCATTCATGAAACTTGTCAGGTCGACTGTTTCTGGTGCCTCTGGGGCCGCAATTAAGACTGGGTGCTCGGGCGAAGAAGAAATTAGGACCTCCTTTGCAAGACTTCTCTCAGTTCCACTCACCATAACAGTGGAAGGTTGTCGGGGGGGATTTTGAGATAAAACAGGTAGGGGCAGCGGGGGTAGGCTACCCCCACCGACAGAGCCTTCCCGAAGCAATGCGCTTTCACGCTCGAGGTTAGCAAAGAATGCAGTCAGTTTACGGTCATGAGCGTCCCTCCATCCAGTCCCTCTCGTCTGTGACACAGCCCCACCAGGTAGCTTATTGGGCTCCAGACTGCAAGTGCGTACCTCATCAGGATTGGTAGTCTGATTTAAATTTTTATCACCTTTATTAGCTGGCGATGAGGTGGGGCTAGGCGCACGGGAGGGCACCCCAGCTTTTTTACAGGTCTCCGGTGTGCACCTAGCTTGTCCACCTGTTCCTGCTGTGACTTTGGCAGATTCTGATGGGGCACTGCCTTGCCCGGGGAAAGCTGCGGGCCTTGCCACATGTTGATCGCTGCTGATTAAGTGGCACGGCAGCGCAGCTGAAACAAAAGAACATGTTTGTGAGTTTATTTGCTTATTATCCTCAGGGACGAATGTCGAGATTCCTGGTGACGAACAACGCTCAGTAGCCGGCTCCTCGATGCTCTGTCGGGTCTGCTGTATTTCCGATCTCATACTACTCAAAGTGACGTTTAGGCGATCGAGCAGCGTTTCCTCGTCACCTCCCAGTGTTGCATTAGACGAAGAGCCGCTCTCAAGCATATCCGAAACGGGCAGTGTCCTTTGCTTCTTTGTTGCTTTACCTACGACAAAGCTCTTCGACTTGTGCGTCCACGACCCAGCAGTTCTCCAGGTCCTGTTTGTCGGAGATGAAGGGGCGCGCTGCAACTCTTCCCTCCGAGGAAGGTAGTGCACTACCAGAGTAACGTCATCATCTGCGAAGATCTCTCTCAGCTTTTGTTTTGTGAATTTCCATGGAATGCCATCCAATCCAGCTCCCAATTTAGTTATGGCAATTTTCTGAAGTTTTTGTTCCCTCATTTTGTCATGCAAAGCAGTAAGAGCAGCCACCTCATTTCTGTAAAACCTTCCCGGGTTTTTGTGCTTCTTGTCACCTGTTCTCTCTTTGGATGCAACGTGCCAAATCGCTCGATCCCCCTCTATGCTTTGCATGACGATACTGCCGATGCGAATATTTGAGCCCGGCGCGTTGATGGCGCCAAACTTGTCAATCAAGGCCTTCGCCGCACCCTTGGTATTTTTCAGGTTAGCTCCGACTAGGTGGGCGACAACATCCTCTTCCGCTTCAGCGATGTCCATACATTTATACTCAAACTTAACCTTGCCTTGGTACTCAGGAGATCTCCTCTGCCGAATTATTCTTCTGAAGTCCCTAAGCATGGCCCTGTCTTCATCGGTCCAATCTTTTCTCTCAGCCGCAGGAGCTGTGTGTCCGAGATGGTCAGCAGATTTCGGCTGCTCACCGTTTTTCGCTACCGCGCGCAGTTGTTTGCCGTTCTCCTTGTTGTCATTCATTTTCACGATGTTTCGCTTCGTCTTTTGAGTCGCTGCATTTTTGTTGACGCTGTTTGTTTTGACTGGCACGCATCCGCTTGCACCTGCCGCTGAACTGGGTCGCGCAAATTTGCTGACGCTGTGTTCGATTGCAGCAGATAATTTTTGCACCGAAGCGTCGGACGTGTCACTCAGTTTCAAAAATTTGAGAATTTCGTTCAATAAATCTCTGACTTCACCCTGTGTTGCAAGAAGCTGGGCGAGCTCGCTCTCTTGAGAAACAGCCAGTCCCTGCGAGGCAGACCTGATACATTTCTTGGCGTCCATCTTCACTGACCTTTAGAAAATCTTGATTGCTTCCAAAAATATCGGGCCACAGAAGTCACACTATTCAGGCAGTCACGAGACAATGTCCAAATTGTGCACCAAAATTGCAGGAAAGCAGCGAAACGTTCGCTACTTTTTTCTGCCGCGCGAGCGGTGTGCCGGCACGTCCACTCGCTGCGGCTGCTCAACTCCAACTCCCTAAACTCTAAAAGTAATTATGCGTTTGGTCTAAGCTTTTGGACCAAATGCGCTGAAAAGATGTAAATCGTGTCTGGGTCTAGACTGGCTGCTTTCGGACCGAACATTTTTGTACTGAACGCATTCAGACCAAAGCGCGCTTAGACGAACAGCTGCATTCAGTCAACTAAGCGCGTTTTGTCAACCACATAAATGCTTAGCAAAATAAATCAATCTTGAATTGCCGTAACCATAGACTTATTATTATTTTTATTGTAGCTTAATTGCATTATGGAATGTAATCACATACAATATCTCCCGAGCAACCCACCCATTTATGATTTATCAATTGAAACAAACAGTAGGGAAAAAAAGAAATTAACATGTTGCTATGAGGTGGAAGTTGGAATGAGGCGAGGACAAACTGGGGCAAACTGGTTGCAGTGGTGTTCTTTATTGCATGGTTACCCCAGTACACTCTCCAATACTCTTCCCCTCAATACACAAAAAGGTAGAAGCGTGTATACCAACCTGATGTAGCAATCACCCCAGTGGCCTGACTGAATTTTTAGCTTACCAAGCCCAACCGTAGCAATATTTACAAAATTATTGTGTGTAAATGTAAATAATTAATGATGTTGCAGGGAAGAAGCGCGGGACATGTTCTACCATGCGTATCGCGCATATAAGGTACGTTGGATTTTGCAATTAATTTTGTTATATTTAATATCTCTTCATAGCATATGTACAAATTACATAACATCATTCTTATTCTACAAAAACGGGTCCTCCATTTCATTTACGGGAAGTACCTTCCGCTGGCTTTTTCTTTCCGTGTTGTTAAACTGTAGAATGACATAATCCTCCTTGCAATACTGCACAGTTTGCACCGCTGTAAAAACGTAAAAAATAAAAGGCGCGAGTTGTATCAGATGAATAAAGATATATTATTTAAGCCTCTGCAGCATTTACAAAGAAAGGAATACAAAAGAGACTGAAGTGTGAATATTCAAAATTGTTGCAAGCGGAAATAAAAGGCTAATATTGTTCCTTTCTTAAGGGAGCTGCTCAGAATAAGACTGTTGCTGCGTGTGGTCATTATTGAATAGAACTTTGGGCAATGATGAAGTGTATGACCGGAATCACGAGATGAGGGCAAATTAGTTCAAATGATTTTATTGTTCCTGAACCTAAAAAGTTCCAAAAGGGAGAGTATGTTTTTCGTGCTCCTTTCAGTTTCTCGGACTTTGTTTTTCAAACCAGTTGGCGTGCAAGAAGTTATTTTTATATTTTTATTTTGCGCCGTTTACCGCCATTGCAAGTCTTCAGGTTGGGATGAGGTGCTGATTTTTCTTGCAAAGCGGGTTGCATCAAGCGTTGCTGCCCCCTTGGCCGATATTATTATTGCATCTTTTCTGAACGTTGTTGACCAGCGCACCTTGGTACGAATGCATTTGGTCCAAAAACGCTGGGTCCGAATGCATTCAGTCTAGACCAGACACGATATATCTTTACAGCGCGTTCGGGCCAAAAGCGTAGACCAAAGACCAAACGCGTATTTATTTTCAGCGTTACCAAATTTTGGTTATGTTTTCAGTTATGTCAGCCAAGAAGCATGGGTATTTAATTTACTAAGTTAACGTATGTGGTCAATTAAATAAAATAAAATTGAAAATGACGAGGAACTTGCGTGAAGGAAGTGAAAACTTTTGTACTTCAACACCAATTCTATGACTTAAACGAATTTTATCGTTTAAATAATGCTGTGTATCTCGACTTATTTTAAAAAGTGTTATTGCTACTGCATATTAATGCTTAACAAAATAAAGAATATTTGAAATTGAAAATTGAAATTGATAATTATTATTGAAAAATTAAAAAAAATTCCATTTGGATTACTTGTTTTTTATTTTATTTAATTCATATAATCAGAACCATTGAAATAATTACCAAAGTAATCAAAGTTAAATTGTGATTTTTATTTTATTTAGCATTTAAAACTTTTTTATTTTTGTTTCAGATTCAGATAATATTTATTCCGTATAGATCAACATATGTACAGAAATAATCTTTGGAATAGGTCACTGTAATACAGCTATATCTCAATATATACAGCTTACTAAATTTAATATACATTTAAAATATAGTTCACACAATTTTACACAAAAAATATTCATGCACGTCATAGAACATTTTGTCTTAATTCTTTATTCTATTAATTTTGTAATTATTCTCCACTGGAGTAATTTTTGTCGTAAAATGTTTATTGAATTGAGAATAAATATACATTGATTTTTAGAGCATAAAATTTTTATCGCACTGTGTTTTGCAGGAAAACGCATACCCAGCTGATGAGTTGATGCCTTTGAGCTGCAAAGGCCGCTATCGTGGTCAAGGTTCGTCTAGGGGTGACATAGATGATTGTCTCGGAAACTTTTCACTAACCCTGGTTGACACACTGGACACGCTGGTCATACTTGGTGACCTAGAAGAGTTTGAGCACGCAGTTTCTCTCATCATTAGAGACGTCTCTTTCGACACAGACATAGTTGTCTCCGTCTTTGAGACAAACATTCGGATGCTTGGGTCCGTAATTGAATAGAAAAAACATAAATTTTCTGAACTTGGATGTACAAACAGGGGCTTACTGTCTGCCCACATATTGGCAGAGTACTTGCAACAAAGAGCGGAAATTATGCCATGGTACCGGGGCGAGCTGCTTCTGATGGCAAAGGACCTCGGATTCCGCCTCCTGCCAGCCTTTAACACCTCGACTGGCATTCCACATGCAAGGGTATGTTAGAATGCATTCTAAAAACTTGATAAAAAAATATGTGATTCTCATTATAAGAGCAAGGTTGCTCGCACATGAATATCGGAGTCGGCAAAAATATTAGCATCTGCATTTTATTATTATGAATTAAACTAATTATTATTGTTTTATGGTTTATTCAATTCATTTGTTTTTCCTCAAATAAGTCAAAACCAAATTATTATTATTTATTCTTTTTATCTGAATAACATGTATTTAAAAATTAAAAGGGAAAAGAGAGAAGAAGAGCTAAGAGATGTCTGTTGAAACGCCCCAATATACAAATGATTATTATTCTTCCTGCTTTTTATTGTATTATGGCGTGATATCACAAAAAGTAAAAATATTCAGCCGCACCGATGAACCTACACTTAGAAAATGATAACGAATACTTTAAAATTGATGCCACTACAGGGCGAGTAAATTGCTTGCTTGGGCTGTATTTGATGCCAGGTCACAGGCCATTTAAGGGCTTTATAACCCTTGAAAATGTCCAATAATTATTACTGATGTTATTAGATTCAGATTCAGATAATATTTATTCCGTACAGATCAACATATGTACAGAAATAATCTTTGGAATAGGTCATTGTAATACAGCTTTATCTCAACATAACTATATTATTATTTATTCTTCTCGGTCAGCACAAAAAATTTTAAATTGGAAAAAAGAGAAGAAAGGGTTTACAACTAGCAGATGCCTGCTAAAACGCCCGACATCAAAAGAGACACGGCCGCCGCAGTAAACCCACACTATCGAAAAAAAAGAACGATATCACAAACACTTAAAAATCTTAACTCTTGAATTGCTGCCGCAAATGCTCCTTGCAGAGGGAGGGAAAATTGCTTGAGGGACAGTTTTTAAGGGCAGGTGGCAGGTCGTTCCAAGGCTTGACTATCCTGAATGAGAAAGCGCCGCGACCGAACTTGTTGTTGGTCGAGGGTGGCTGGAGGCGGGGGTCCTGTATGTCATCACCTCTCAGCTTACGACCCATTACAATTCGGGCGCGCGCTTCAAAGTCCGTCTCGCCGCTCAGGCACTTTTTGAAGAAGTAGAGGTCAGTGTACCTGAGGTGCATGTCAATGGGCATAATTCCCTGCTCGATTGGCGGCGGAGGGGTGCGGCCGTAGATGAAGTGCAGTGCCCGATTCTGCACTCGATTGAGTTTGTTGACGTTCTCCTGTAACGTGGGGTGCCACGCAGGGAGACCGTAAGTCATGGTTGGCTTGACGAGCGAGAGATACGCAATTCTTTTGACGCGGGGGTGCAGCAGTGCAGCTGCGAGTAGCACCCCACCCGCGGCGCGTCGGCAGTATATAAGTATCAGTATTATGACATGAACGAGTTTTTCAGTTGTAAATTTGATTTGTAAATTGTATAAATATGTGAATGACGTATTTTAAAAGTTTTCAATTCGTTGATGACTTAATGAAATAAAAATAATTCTGAATCTGAATCAGCCGAGTCGGTCCTTTCGTAGGACGACGTACTCTCGCGGCAGCACCTCGTGATTGTGAATATCAGGTGAGAATCCACCGCGCATATATCGGCCGAATGTGTTTGAATCAGGGCGTGAATATCGGCGGCCTTCTTTCTGTCCTTTAAGGAGCGGGCATTGAAGGACAAAAACAAAAGGGCATTTACAGCTTACTAAATTTAAAATACAGTTCACACAATTTTACACAAAAAATATTCATGCACGTCATAGAACATTTTGTTGTAGAATATTGATTCCAATTCCTTCTTAAGTCCTTCAAGTTTCAAGTCCTTCAATTTTATGGACTCTAATTTTTTTTTAAATGCTAGGCTAAAATATAATTTATTCGGATAAATAGAGAAATAAATTTTTAATCAACAGGTCAATCTAAGGCACGGATTGAAGTCACTTGAAAAGTCCACTGAAACTTGCACTGCTTGCGCAGGTAAGTTGTTGCTTATTTTTTATTTGTCATTATTATTATTATAATTATTCAGATTCAGATAATATTTATTCCGTATAGATCAACATATGTTCAGAAATAATCTTTGGAATAGGTCACTGTAATACAGCTATATCTCAATATAACTATAATGCAGCTTACTAAATTTAAAATACATTTAAAATACAGTTCACACAATTTTACACAAAAAATATTCATGCACGTCATAGAACATTTTGTCGTAGGATATTAATTCCAATTCCTTCTTAAACACTTGATAACTGGTAACTTGATAATTGGCCCAAACGCAGGGTGCGGCAAATGAGGGCCAAGGACTTCCCTCATCTCTGAGATGTGTCCGAGGCCCCACAGTACTCTATTGGAATTAGATTAGATTAGATTAGATCAAAATTTATTGCATTAGACATATATAATACATCATCAGTTTGTCTTTACAACAAGTCAATAAAATAGCAAAATAAAAACTCCAAAAAATTTTAACTTTAACATTCAATAATTTCGATGACTCAGGACAGGGAAGAGTTGTCATCCTGTTTCATTTAAGCAGTCAATTTTACATCTCCAATATTCGTGCATATCTTAGAATTATTTCCACCACCCTTGCTATCTATTCTTTATACTATTTTCTAATGTTTATTTTATTTTCTACCGTTACAAAGTATGGTAGCTTTCATAATAATTATATTAATGCATGCTTCTGTAAAACGGATTTTATTTAAATTTTTTTAGGTACCATGGTGCTCGAAATGGCTGCGTTGTCCCGACTGTCAGGTGAGCCTATATTTGAAAATAAGGCCCACCGAGCGATGGATGTGCTTTGGCAAATGCGGCACCGCTCCTCCGACTTGATGGGCACTGTGCTTAATGTGCACTCTGGTGACTGGGTACGTCGCGACTCTGGTGTTGGTGCTGGCATTGACTCTTACTATGAATACTGTCTGAAAGCATATGTCCTACTCGGCGAGGAGAAATACCTTGGTCGCTTCAACCGTCACTATGACGCAGTCATGAAGTACATCAGCCAAGGGCCATTGTTGCTGGATGTGCTTATGCACAGGCCACACACAAATTCACGGAACTTTATGGATGCGCTCCTTGCTTTCTGGCCTGGCCTGCAGGTGCTCAAGGGTGACATCAAGCCAGCGGTTGAGACACATGAAATGCTTTACCAGGTAATCATTTTGTCAAAAAGTTTAAAATCTACTCGTCATTTTTAACGAATACGTCATTCTCATGTTATTAACTGTACTTAAAATGTATAGCTTCAGATACAATTTCATTTTAGATTATTCAACGGCACAACTTACTCCCTGAGGCGTTCACCACTGATTTCCAAGTCCACTGGGGTCAACATCCTCTCCGCCCAGAATTCCTTGAATCAACCTACTTCTTGTATCGTGCCACACAAGACCCCTACTATCTTCAAGTGGGAAAACATGCGCTAATGGCTCTCCAAAAATATTCTCGTGTACCATGTGGATACGCTGCAATCAAAGATGTCCGAACCACTGCCCACGAGGACCGTATGGACAGCTTTGTGCTTGCAGAAACCTTAAAGTACCTGTACCTTTTGTTTACTGAGCCATCCAATCTTGTGCTAGACCTAGATGATTTTCTCTTTACCACTGAAGCACATCTTCTCCCGCTCACTTTGGCCAAAAGTAGGAATTCATCTGTTTTTCTGGTAAAGCTCAACTCTGTTCCCTAAAGTGTAACTTTTTCTCCTCAAACAAGTCAAGTCAATCAGTGCAAGTGGGCATTTCTATGAGGCCCATGGGAGGATTTTTTTTTAAGAAAGCGGAAAGCAATCATATTTGAGGGCTTTTAGAAAGAAATTGTTACAGAAAATTTTGAAATCCAAAAATGTAGACTCCTGTTTTTTTTCAATGTTTAACTCTGCAACCCTCAAATGCTAGATTGATAAAGTTTCACCTGAACAGCTTTTCTCTTGACACCAAAGCTGTATGTCAATGGTCAAGGTCACTTTTAAGCGATTTTATGATGTGTATTAAATGTTTAAATCTCGCGTCCAACCTTGACGTTAATTTACTTACGAAGAAAATACAATATTAACTTCAAATCCAGTCATATTTCCTCATTTAAATCACGGGAAAAATATTTAAATGATAATTAATTTTTCAGAGTGGTACGTGTGATGAAGATCCTCGTATTTGTCCGAGCACTCTGCATCTTTTCCCAGAGTCAGTGCGTAAACCATTGAAAAATATGGTCAATGGAATGTGCCCCCGGAGGTCGCACCGCAGGAAGTTGCATGCCGTTCAATTCCAGGTATATCCTTTTTATTGACAAAAAAAGGAGTTTTAAACAAATTTAACACTATTTAAACATCTTTAAAAATTTATAATAATTCATCATCTAGATTGGGAACCCTGAGCATATGAAGGCTGTTCATGACATGGGCATTGCCATTATAACTCTTCCAGACGGTCGTCTACAGTTGTTGCACACTCTGGCAAATGTAAGAAGTAAAATAAAGATGGTTGGTTCCTTCTGCACCACTATTAAAGGGCACAGGCCAACAAGACTTCACCCTAAAAAATCTAATGAACATTTTAATAGGCAAGATCTGCTACTGATGCTGAAGAAGGCTTGCAGTTCATGCAGGAAATGATTGAGCTATCCAAATCGCAGGCTCAGACACCAGACTCTACACCTCTTAGTGTTTCATACCAAGTAGGAGCTTCGGCGCATGCCCCAGCACAGAGGGTGATGCTGACTGCTGGTCCAGCTCATTTTGGTCGCGAATTAAAAGGTGCTGACCGTGTTTCAGCTAAAGTCGCACTTGTTGAACCTTTAAGAGTGTGCTCGCCCATTGAAGAACCCAAGAAGTTGAAGGGGCGTATTGCTGTGATGGAGAGAGGAGACTGTATGTTCATCGAGAAGGTACACAAATATAATTTATTTATTCCCCATTCAAAATGAGTACAGCAAAAACTAAACATAATAGATGACAAAAAAATACACATTGTCAAAACAGAATACGCTGTTAGTTATGGCGGTGAATAGGTAAATGGCCTTTCTGAAGCAGACAATTTGCTAAAGCACACTCTCGAATCCTTGTAAGTAGAGTGCATGGGCATTGACAGTTCCATCTATTTTAGGCACGGCGTGTTGAATCCGCGGGAGCTGTCGGTGCTATTGTGCTGGACAACACAGGTGGCTCTTCTTCCAGCATATCGTCTATGTTTGCCATGTCTGGGGATGGAACCAACGATGTAAAAATCCCTGTGGTCTTCCTCTTTCAACTAGACGCTTTGCGGTTGCTACAAGCAGTGTCCATGGATCCCGAGCTAGAGGTGATCTTACAAGACTCAAGAAGCGCCAACCATGAATCATTATTGGCTGATAATACTGATGTCATGGATGCTCGTCTTCTTGGCTCAATACTGGACAAGCTTAAAGGCTCTGTGCAAGACTTTCTCATGAATCAACAGAACCACGTAAATTTTAACTAATATTTAAGTACATATTATTTCCCTTCTTAATTTTTCTTTTCTTTGCAGCTTGATGTGAAAGATGATATAAGCAGCAAGGAGGACCGCATTCGCACCAACCGGGGTCGAAGTAGAAAATTTGACTCGGATGGCTCCAATGAAGAAACTGCAATTACCTCAATTTCTCACGAGCCTAAAGACGAGTTGTGATGTGGCACTCGATGCCCTCATTTCCTGTGATTGCGCACCTCTTGGTCCGCACAACGAAGTTATAAGCACTGCATACAACAAAAATCTTATTCCATTTGTATGTTACTAAGTAAAGACAGGTCAAAGGTGTGCGTTTACCCTTTGTTAACTTTGCAGACAGATTTTGTTTTGATGAAGAATAAATCGTATTTTGTAACATGAATATCTTTAAATGTTGAAAAAATGAACAAAAAGATATTTATTTAAAGAAAGTCTTTTTAGATAAGTTTGTTACCACGCTAAAATGATGAAATTAAGAGTAATTCAGGGCTGGCACCGCTTGGGGAAATGGAGGCTACAAATTGAGCTTCTTTATTGGCACTGAGAAACCCCAAGGAGGCCCCATTTCACGGATCGGCTTCAATTTGTCCAAACAGCAACACTACGCTGGTCCTTTCAAAGGGAATAACTACCGATCTGACCCAAGGGACGTTTTATGCTGAGGTTGTAGATTAAAATGTATTTCTAATGAAATTAGAATGTAATAGATGTATTACATAAGTCTAATGACTTATGTAATACATCTCCCAATTTGCCTATTGAGGAGGCGAAATTGTGCTGTTGCTGTCCTGCGAGACCATACTTTGTCTGGGCCCTTTTTGATTTCGGTCCACCAGCTTTTGAGCTTGGTAGCCTCCTCCTTGCTGTTTTTGAAGAGTTTGCTGGCGGCTGATTATGCCGTAACTCATAATAGACTGACAGTAAGCGAAGTACACCATTTTCAAGTACTTTTCGTCAACAGAATGCATCAAATTGTTAATCAAAAAAACCGCACTATTTAATTTCCCAACCACATAATCTGAATGCTCAGTCCACTTCAAATTATGCGCAAGGTACAAGCCCAAAAATTTTGTCACATCTGATTCAGTCAAATTGTCGCCATCTCAAGGTAGAAAAATTAATTTCTCCTGGCTAATGAACTATTCAGTTAGAATTTAAAGAAGAAAAACGGACTTACATTGTTTGTCTGCTGAAATACCTAACAACAGATATTTTTTATTTGTATAAAAAACTTTCCAAGCTTTTTAAGGGGAAAGCGCCATTGGAGTATCGTCACTATCAGTCAAGGACATGTCACTCCTGGTAGTGGCATCAGGGTTGCATGGAGTGACAGCACTTAATGATGGTGTGATGCAAGGGGAATCGAGGTTTGAAAGGCCAGACATCTCGAGACGCGTCGGAACTGCAGAATGCCCTCCAGACATATGCGCAGGAGTGACCTCTTCTGGCAGCTGGACATCAACCTAAAAAATAAAAATAATATGCAGGAAAAATATGCAAATTCATGCGAAATTGAACATCAAATTAGGCATTTCACAAAAAGTACATTTTAAATTAAATGAAGCTCGGATTATAAACATTACTAAATTATGAGCCAACTGATCAATTTTTATTGAGAATACCACTACAATATTTTTCATTTGCAAAAGTTGGATTTTAATGATAATTGTTTTAATTTTTTTATGCCAGATGTGTGAGCTTTTCAGCTATTCAATCTTCGGGCAATCCAATAGAGTTGGGATTCAGTTTCTGTCCTGCTCAGGATTTGCAGGGGGTCGAGTTGATTTAAGAGAACGGCACAATTAAAAAGGTGTGCCCTGTCTTGCACACTTCATTTACATGTTAATTAATTGTTTATTTAGATTTCAAATATTTTAATGCTCATTAAAAAAACACATTACCAATCTAATTTTTTCGGAGAAAATAAATTGAATCAAATGAAAACACCTGAACTGCTACCCCTCTAGTCTCATGGATTTCATTTCTAACCAGCCACTGCCACTACCATAAAAAATGTGTCTTTGCTGGTTCAGCAAGCCGCTTTAAAAACACAGCGGCTGCATAACTGCAAAAAAGATCTACCTGCATGTTGGCATTTTCCTCTTTGTGCCTCTTCTCTGCAATGCTTCTCAGTAAAGCTTTACCTTCCTCTTTTGTCTGTAACATTAATTTGGAATTAGATTTTCTTTTTATTTTAAAGGGCTTGAAAAGTTCCATTTCATGGAGGTTCAATATTGGTACAGATTCGTCCGATTTTGCGCGCCCATTGAAGTGATTCCCTAGTCCTAGTTATTACTTTTAACTTTTATGTCACTTATCCGGCGTGCAAAAGCCTATAAATGAAATATCGGCCTGCCCGAGCAGAAGCGATCTTGAATTTTAGGGTTTCCTGGTTTTTCCAAGGCAAATCAATAGTTCTTATTGTTTTATCAATATGAAATTTTCAAAAATACGACTTTTACGGTCACATGGGTGCTTGGTGGGCACATTGACCATCTCGAAAGGCCTGTTTGAACGTAATTATGGAGTTTGCTTAATTGCCTGTGGTCATTTTTCTATTGATCCAAAAATTAAAAAAATGTGGCGAAATTTAAAAGTTTAAGTTTAAATGATGCATTAAGCAATGGATTGAGGGTGCTCGCAGGGGATGGGGGTGGGCAAACATTTGACTAACCCTCCTCGCCTCCTACGGGGGAAAACCACCCCTCGAAAATGAGTATCACTCGGTTAATTTAAGCAGTCAAACTTGCATCTCAATTATTTGTTTATATCATAGAACTGGTATTTCAACAATGCATATTTAACACTTTTAACAAAGCTATCATATATAGCTATCATTATAGTCTGTTACATCTCTTAATACCTTTGGTAAATTATTATAAATACTTTGTGCGATCATTATCTCTAGACTTTCAAATACACAATTCAGTGAGCTCGGCATTACGAACAAATCTGTATCAAAATGTGGAGTAGCTTGCGTAGGGTTTTCGGGGGGTGGTTTTCCCCTGTAGCAATTGAGGAGGCTCAAGTCAATTGCTCGCCAAAGATTACAGGCGTGCGAGCACCATCAAATCGATCACATGTTAATTTAATTGTTTTGATATTTTAGTGTTACTATAGTATAATGACTTTTTGTAAAGGCAATTGGAGATGCACAATGTATTTCTAATGCAATAAATTTTGATCTAGTCTAATCTAATATAAACTTAACACATTGCAAAATATACAATGAATATAATTATAGTAAGAACTCAAAACTTCACAAAATAGCGGTCTACATGAGAAAAGTGCTGCATTACTCATCCAGTATATAACGCCAGCCATTGCTCTAATTACACCTTTCTGAGCAAGGAAAACATCTTTCATAAAAGTAGAACCACCCCAGATTGAATGAAGTATACGGCTCTATGCCAAAAATGCGCGATAAGCTCCTACTAAGGTAAGATTGAGATTGAAATTATACATAAATATAGGCCTTTTCTAGTCACTTTAAATTGCTGTTATTTTTCTTTCTGGGAGGGATCGAATCATTTCTTTAAAATATTTTTGTGCCCAACCTCTTCAAACTCCAAACACTTGTTGCAGTACATGCATGCTTGATCAACGTCCCCTTGGTTGAGGAAGTGGTTGGCCAAGTACTTGAATGCTCGGGCCAATTCCAATCGGTCTGAACCACCTGACAAATTGCTGCTGCACTCGACTGCTATCATTCTCTGACTTTCGGCGGCAAACTCCAAATAAAGCTCTGCTGCATTGTCTTTGTGTCCCATGGTGTCATGCAGCCTAAATAAAAATGCATTATAAATCACGTATTTCGGTGTCATCTTCAAGATAAAATTGAATCATACTTTGCTAATTTTAAAAGTGCAGTTCTCTCTATATCTCCAACATTTCTTGCTTTGTAATAACACTTCATGGCATCCTTGAACTTGTCTACTTTTTCATTGGCCTCGCCAAGAGCTATGAGCATTCTGCTGTCGTTAGGTCTTAAAGCTTGAGCTCTCTTGTAGTGGTATTGACTAAACTGAGGCATTTTCAATATTTCATAGGTTTGGCCCAGGCCATACCACGCTCTGTAGTCCAGCCAGTTTACTTCTGAAAATAGACAGTAAAAATTTTGGTGTTTTAATTAAACTTTGAGAGGTATCGTTTCATGGAGGGTGGTGGGGGGGGGGGTCAGATTTTGCACGCCCTTCATTATGATGTGCTAGTTATCATTATCACTTTTATGTCAATCTTTCTGCATGCAAAAGCCGAAAAATGAATCTTTGGTCTGCCCGAGCAGAAGCCATCTTGAAGTTTGGGGTTTCCTGGTTTTTCAAGTCAAATTTATAGCTGATGCCTCCAAATCCCCTTTGAGTCACAAACGCGCCGCGCCACAGATAAATAAAGGACAGAAAGAAGGCTGCCGATGCCGACATTCTTGCCCTGATTCAAACACACCCGGCCGATGTATGCGCGGCTCTTGCCTGATATTCACAATCTCAAGGTGCTGCCGCGCGAGTACGTCCTCCTTCAAAAGGACCGAATCGGCTGCCGACGCGTCGCGGGTAGGGTGCTACTCGCGATTTATCCACACCTCAGGCCAAAACGACTCGGACACCTCGAGGGGCGCGCAGAAATTGCTTGGGCTCAAATTAAAGTTGGCGAACTTTGGGCTATGTTTTTAATTATGAGTACCATTATTTTAATAGAAACAGCTAAAAATAAAAATTTAAGGGAAGATCACATATATTCTAAACTTTTTTTAGAATTTTCTTAACAAAATTCAATTGCATACATTACAGTGACAAACAAATACATATTTAACAAGCCTCCCATTTATTTATTCAAAAAATTTCAAAATATTCTTAAAATTTTTTAAAATTAGACTATTATTTTTTGAATAAAAAACAATTTTTTGCAACGAGGAAAAGCCCGAATCTTCATTTCCATGATCATCTCCTCGAGTGTCAACTTCTTCAAACAAACTATTATTTTATTGACTTTAATTTTTGAGATTTTTATTTTTGGACCAATAGAAAAATTACCATAGCCAATTTAGCAAACCCCTTAATTCTAACCAAACAGGCCTATCAAGATGGTCAATATACACACCCACGTGACCATACAAATTGTCTCTTTCATTTTTGAAAATATCATCACAATAAACCAAAAAGAACCAGGAATTTGCCTCCATTAACTAGATTTAAAAAAAAAATCGATGGCTTCCGCCTGGGTATTGTTCTGTTGCTTATAACTCGCACCCCAAAATATCCCAAAAATCTTTTTTTCCGTGAATATTTTCAACCCCTTTAATTTGGAAACACTTTTGTTTCAAATTGGGTATATGAGTTTTAGCAAGTTGTTTACTATAGCTAACTGCCAATTCTCTCCCAATGTGACTTTCCCATTTCTTGTATGACTTGTCGCAAGAGAATAAATGAATTGAAATAATAATGTATCAATATGCTGGGAATGGAAAAAACTAAAAAATGATCTCTTTTACCAATGGCTTGTCTATAGCTTTTCATGGCTGCATTTATGTTTTTCAGCTCCATATACTCGTGGCCCATCAAGGTCCATGCTGACAAGAAATTGGGCTTCAGTCTCAGAGCTCGCTGGAAACTCTGAACAGCTTTCTGGTGTTCATTTCGGAGACTGTAAAAGTTTCCTACAACATTATAAATATATATATGTATGTCTCTTTGATCTTGAATTTACTTTTATCTTTACCAATCACAACACAAGTTTCTGCTCTATATTTGTCAATTTCGCTGACCTGGTGTGCCAAGTGGGCCAACTCTGCCCGCATTTCTTTTACATACAACAAATTACTGTAGGTGTCCATGTTGTCAAGGCGGAACGGATCATCATTGGTCAAATTTCTAAAGATTTCCACAGCAATCTCTACATCTAGAGCACAATTCTTAAAGTTATTCAATTTTTTTTATAGAATAATGAAAAAAACCTCGTTTATTATGATAGGCAATTGCAATTTGTGCATCAACATAGCTACACTTTTCAAATCCACTTTCCTTCAAGAAATTGTAAATCTCAATTGCTTCTTCGTTCATTTGCAGTTCAAGGTACATGTAGCCAATAAAGAAATACTTAATCCAGTGATTGGGCAACTTAAGGTTTGAGAGCTGGAATTTTTATAAGGAAAATGAGATGGAAAATAATTATAAAAAATATATTACCATGCATCGGTCCGTGATTAATTGTGCTAGTTCCAACCAGGCTCCCCAGTTCAATGGGGACATGTTGATAGACTTCACTAAACTGTCGACTGCCTGATGCCGTACTTTGAGCTTCTTGAGGATAATTCCGTGCAGATAGAGCAAATAACCATCCTGAGATGAGTGGGAGGCCAATTTATTGCCAAGAATAGAGCCTGTGCCATGAATTAAGAGATTGAGGCTGCTCAGGAGATCTCGTAGATGTTGCAAGCACGGTGAATTTTGCGAATCTATAGAAAAAATTTAATTTAGTACAAAGAAAAGGTGAATTATCACTCACTGATTTCTGTCACATTATCCAAGTGACGCTTCTCGATTGCCAGAAACTTAGCCCAGTGATGAAGAAAAACAAGTTTAGGATGCTTTGAAGAAGCAAGAAAATAAGCACATCTATCAGAAAAGAAAAGGCATTAAAAAAGATATTTTTTTTATTAAGTGAATGCATTTTCAGCAACAACGCACCGATCATATTCTCTTAATTCCAAGAGGGTTCTGGCCAAATCATATTGATCTTTTTCATCAAGTGGTACTGCAGCTTCTGATTCTACTTCGGCAGGGTCAATGTTTATTTTTGACAAAGACATCCGCAGCTCAGACAACCTTATAAAATAAAAGAAAAAATTAAATAAAACTGGAAGTAGGGTGTGCAAGGGTTGTTTTTTGAAATTTCACCATTTGGCAGATTCAGAAAGACCACGTTCTAGGCACTCTTTAAAGCCTCGATGCAAGTCAATTTTCACTAAACGCAAATCCAAACCCTTCAACTCGTCTAGCATTTTGAATGATACATAAAATATGTATCAGTCTTTTTTCTTCTTCACACACACTACTAATATTTGTCTTTTTCTTCTTCCTGGAGGAAATTACCCTCCTTGCTCTTCTTGTTTGTTTACTCCGCGTCTGGGCTCTGGGCGCTGGCGTTATGGATGGGGAATGTTACCAGTTTCCAGTTTTTTACCCTTGCAACTTGCGATAGTTTTTCGTAAACATGTGTTCGTAAACTAGCAATTCGTGAGCCTGCGCTGCACGCTGCACTCAAGGAGAATCTGGAGAATAATGATGCACTCAGCCAAAAATTAGAGTATGGGATCAACAAGTATGGGGTGTGAATAAGGGCGGGGCTTAGGTTCTAGCTCCCATTCTCCCATTTGATTACATTGTACAGTACAATTACAATGTACATACCAGCTTAGAGCTTAACATTGTGGGAATGGGGAGGCTCCGCCTTTTTTCGTATCCCAAGATCTTGCCCAAGATGCTACAATCCCTAGCCAACAAGGGTCGTATTCGTAATCTCGCAACTTCGACAATTGTTCAAAGAACATGTGTTCGTAAACTAGCAATTCTTGACGCTGTGGCGCTGCGGAAGGGGGCAAACTTCCAGCAACTACCTAGAGACTCGAGGTTGGACTCGAGACAGGGTTAGCAGGAACCTCCTTGAAAAAAGCAACAGTCCAGAGTCCAGACTTGCTGCTTGTTTTCTGCTTGGTTTTCTGGCTTAAGCTTAAGCCCCTTCTTCACGGCGCCAACTGGTGGTTGAAATGGCGTACTACAGCCAAAAACCATCTTTCTGTTCGAAATGTAGCAGCCTGTTTTTGTGACGTCACAAAAACATCTCTTGGTGGAAGTGTTTCGCTGTTGCGAGATTACGAATACGACCAAGATTGGCGATATTGGCATTTTGGCAGCCTTTATTCGTGACGTCTCAAAAATAACTCGGCAACAAGAACTCGGCGAACGCAGCAAGGAGAGTAAAAGGTAAGAGGAGGCGCGGAGAAGAGGAGCCTCCTATTGTTAAACTGGTCCGGAGCCAATCAGCGCGCTGGTCTCCTAGGAGGTAACCTTCCTTCTGCTGGCTCTACATCAAACGCTCACTTAAGATAGTGCTGAGCAATTGCTGTCTTAGGGCATGCTAAGCCAAAATTACTGCATTTTACACTGCACTTAAATCGATCGAAGCGCCAATTATTTTTGCGGTCAGACCAGCCAATCACTCGACCAGAAAACTCTATTAAAAATATAAAATTTTCATATTTCGCAATATTTACTATGAAAAATTTTTATAAAGACTTAAATTAAAATATAATTATAATTGACTAACGTATAGATCAATTTTTTGACGCAAAACAATTAAAATATCTAGCGCTTTCTTATTTCTGCTCTGTCATTCTTTTTTAAATTAATTTCCAATTAAAATTTGCTAATTGCACATTTGATGAAAAAATCTTGAAAATTAAAAACAGTGTAATCAATTTATAAATAGCAATAATTTCACTTCACCATATAATATGTAAGTTACATTATAAAATCTGATAAAATCTAATAATAAAATTATTTCAGGATCACGATCTGTATTATAAACTTATTTTAATGATCCACAACATCACCTGTCAAAGAGTTTTATTGTAATTTTAATTTTAATTTTCCAAGTTTTAAATGAAAGGAATTAAATAATTGAAAAAATTTTAATTTTAAAAGACAAAATGATTTTAGGGGGAAAATTCATTTAGAATATATTTGTTGTGTTTGAAATATAATTTTTTATTTAAATTTTTAATAATGAACAAAAGATTTATTAATTTTATAAAAAAAAATATTAAAAATTCCATGTTGGTGAAGTAAAAAATTATTTTCACCGCTTGAAATAGGTTGTAGTGATGGCCTCCATGTTAATCTAAAATCTAATGTCTCTTTAGTTTGAGATGTTTATCTTCTTAATTTTTTTGTGCAAAAGGTCAGTAATTTGTCAGAAAAACACTAATTTTTGGACACCACCCGTAAGAAAAACTTGGGTTTGTTTACAACTTGTCCCTCGAAGTGCGCATGTGCTAAGCAAAAAGTGCTGCCAAGACAGCTCGCGAGCTCGCTGAGGGAGCTTGCTGTCTCAGCAAACCATACTTCACTCTCCACCGGTGTCTCAAGCCAATTTTTGTCTTAAGATAGCTATCTTAAGTGCAGTGTAGAAGAGGCATTCCGCATCCGCATCTCCTCTATCTTTTACTCTCCTTAATTGGCTCCCCATGCTGAGCGTGTTGAGTTGAGCGAAACCTCCTTGAAAACGCAGTACGCGAATCGCCGACAGGACGGACCCGTATCACCATCACCCTGACCTCTACCGGAGATTGCATTGCACTCCGCGCTGAAATAATTATATTAGATGTGGGGATACAATACTTAGACCTTACCGGAAGTGGCGTCTACGCAAGAAAGTCTTTTGTGACGTCACTTCTGATAATTCACTGTCATATTCATATACTATTCATCTTTGCGATTCCCAATCACCCAATCCATACAAATTTCTCAGTGCCACATTCGCCACGCCACAGCCACATTGCATTGTCTCGGACTTACCTAGAACTACACACATTTCAATCGTTTGCAGTTTGCAGCGTGTCAAAAAATGGCGGACCTGGACGATTTCTTTGCTAAAAAGGACAAGAAAAAAAGCAAGGGCAAGGGCGGTGGGCGCTTTAGCACAGTAGAACAAGTAGCCCGAAAACTGGAAGAAACGCCGGGTAACACACTGTCAGCTCCTCGAACGCGGGCTAAAAAGGAGTCCAAGGATGGCGAGTCGGGTCAACAGTGTCACGTGAGCTCACACTCAGAAAATATCTTTTATTATTATTCCAAGCACTGCTTCCATTCATTTCTTTACTAAACCTCTAGAACAAATTACTGAATTAAAATAAACCATACTGTTAATCATCTTGGTAAAAGCTATGAAGGAAAGGAACTGAAAATACCCGAATCTGAAAAAATATTCTTGCGCGTCACAAAACATTGTAATTATCATTGAATAATATTTCAGTTTCCTTCTACCTAATCACACTGGAAGCAATCTCAAGTGTTTTGTTACCTCGTTGGTTAATATTTCTAGGCGTATCTAAAGTTACTTATTGTAATAGAGCACTAAATACACCCTTTTGATCTGACGCTGAGAAAATATTTTTTACATGCTCTGTTGAATTTGCAGGAAGAAGACGAATGGCGCGAGTTCGAGGAGGAGAAAAAGGACTACTCTGGCCTCCGAATCCAAAACATGCAACTGTCCGAGGCGGATGAAGCAGGTGCTGCCTCTGACTCTGACAATGATGCTGCTGAGGCCGCCCGTCGTGCATGGCAAACTGCGCCAGCTGCCCCTAAAGACTCAGATGAAGAAGAGGACCCGGAAGCCCCTGAGCCAGACCCCTCGCCTCCACCACCATCCTCTGCTAATGCCCCCTCAGCCTATGTGCCACCTCACTTGAGAAGCGGTGCCGCTCCCTCATCGTCACCAGCTCCTAGTGGAAGTAGTGGTAAATTTGAAAATTCTTTCCCAAAAAAATTCAGATCTATTGAGGGTCATTTTATTTAAATATAATTAAAGATAATAATTGGGAAATGAGGAATAGTTCCGGGTTTGGGTTGCACCGCTGAGGGAAGATGGGCTTCAGTTGGTTTAAGACTGCACTTACCGGGACATAGCCAAAATAGGAGGTTCGGCGCACACACTCGGCATCGAACAGAAAGCTCAAATTGCCATCTCCATTTCCCTAAGCTACATAAGAACTATGTACACATAATTTCTCGATTTTTTTTTTAATCACTTTTTGACTTTGTTGTAAGTAACATTTTAAAACATAAATAATTAAGCAAACAATTATCACTCCTTGCAGTTAACCGTGGTTCTCGAAGTCGTACTGCCCCTGATATCAACAATGAGGCCTTTTTCCCTACGTTGTCAGCTGCTTCTGCTACCGAGCCTACTGGAGCTTGGGGAAAAAAGTAGGTTGAATTTTTATTCTTTCCAATGTCCACACCAATGGATGCAACAATTAAATTCTTTTTGCGTTGTTGTCAGCCAATCAAAAGCTGTAGCAGTTAGATTGTATGAGTCGACGTTATTTTTCAAAAATTTATCCATCATAAAACAGCATTTTGCATTTATCAAGAAATCATTCGTTGGAAAATCTGTTTTTCAAATGTCAGTAATTCAAAAGTAAGAAGCAATGTAAAAAAGTCTGAAATTTTTTCGAAATGAAGAGATTGGGATTTTCCTCGTTGCAAAAATTGTCAAATGGCTCTACCAGTTTCGGTCACGGTCTGCAACTGGTTTGGAAAAAATTTAAACTAATTTTTATAAAAGGAAGATTACAGGCAAGAGGATTTTATAATTTAAGCACTGAACCTTTTCAATTTTCAATTCTGGTCAATTTACATTAGGTTTATTTAGGAGAAAATTAATTAAACAATTGGATTTAACTGCTGTTTGTCTGGGTTATATTCCCTATAAGGTTACAACTCTACTCGCGGAATATTCTTTTTAATTAAATGGGAAAAAATACACTGATGGAAGGCGGGGGGCTGGTGGGATGCTCTCTCGAGGTTGTAGCTCGGATGATGCTGGACAAGAAGAAGGCCTGCGGCAGTGACGGTCTGGTCCCCGGAGAGTACTGGCGGTCGGTCACAAGATGGCCTGGCAATTCGCTGGGGGTGTCGAACGGGTAGCAGCTCTTGGGTCAGCCGCCAGATTGGGAACCTAGGGACAAGGTGGGAATGAGTATTTGGGCTTTAACAAATCAACATGTGATGTGCAACAATAATAGGCTTTGGAACTTAGTTTACCTGTTTGTCCTACAGGCAAAACTCGGGGAAACTAGAGGGTGGATATCTCACCAACTGGGGTGGTCAGGACTTGGGCAGCTCAATTTTTTCAATTTCAAATTGATCGGCGGTCCCTGGCTGGGGCTCTGCGAGACCAGGCTTGGGGCAAGGGGGGTCGTCCGGCCAAGAGTGACGGGGTGATCCGCTTGCTGGAAAGCCTGGGAACAAAGGATTAACTCTTTTAGTCCCTCCGTCAGCGGCAGTATGGCCAGAGAGTCGCCTACCTTCTCGGGAAGAGGCGAGTCTCGCAGTCGTACTGCAGCTGACGGGAGGGCTCCTTATATATCTATCGCCCACCCACCTCCACTATACAAAAGTATAAGATCCTCCAGAACGTTCTCCACCCGGTGGCTGACGTGAGGGAATTTTACTGTCATGCACAGTAAAATTATGACAGTAAAATTCTTGACATCGGTTAATAAACTCTTCGACACCCCAAAATAGAACTCCCATCAGTAATTTACGAGTGATAAATTTTAACAATTGAACTTTCCAATAAACTAAATTTACTCAACATTAAAATTAAATTAGAAAAAAATTTAATTTTAAATCTAGAACTTGAAAAAAAAAAAATTAATCCTCAGCAGTATTTAAACAATTAATCGTTAATCCCAAAGGCCATAATGTACAAAAGTTTGTGTGAGAGAAAAAAAATCAATTGCCATACACCACAACCCTATTTCATGAGCAAACGCGCTGCTCGCTGACTAATGCAAGAATCATGAAATGAAATTTTTTTAATTTTTGTAAGTTCTGGTATCAATAAAATATAAAGATCTGAAAATCAAAATAAAGAACCATTGGTTCGTCACATTTTTTTTTGTCTTTAGCTATAGACTGAATCAGTCAAACGATTCTTTTTTTTAATGGTGATTTGAATTTAAAATTGGCTTTTCCTCGATGGTTTTTTATTTTTAAGAAAAAACAATGCTCTACATGTTTTGGCGGCGGGCTGCAGCCATTAGCTCTGAGATCATACAGTTGACAAGAATTAGTACACAAATCTGTCTTTAAAACTTTTTTCTCAAATTTATTATTATTATTTATTATTATTATTTTTTTTTTTTTTGAGGAAAACTAGTTTAAGTTGCATTCTTACACAGAAAAACACATATCTGACCATTGAATTCAAAAAATTTGACCAAGATATTACTGCCTTGAGGTGGTTCCATTCTCTGTAAAGGAAGTTTATCGTTTGAACAATGCTATGTTCTCTGACTTACGTTATTAAGTAATTATTCCTAAAATAATTATAAACGAAATAAAGTAATATTAAATCTAGCAATTCCATCCAACCCAGATGACGTTTTTGGCAGGAATTGATGCCCTGGATGAATAAATAAATAAATAGCCCATTTATTTAGAAATGAAATAATGATCTGAAGCCTGTAAAATTAGTAAAACCAAATTAATCATTGATAATTACCAGTTGCATACAAAAGAATTTTTTATTACATTGTGAAAACTCTAGTGATATTAATAAAATACCTTTCGATAACTTCATAAAATAAAAATTCTTCTAAATAGCTAAGATCACTAATTTTTTTTTATCTAAAGCAGAAAAAAATATTTTATTGAACATTGAATCCCTTGTCTAAAACGAGATTAGAGTCCTAATGTCTGTCTTGAGTCCTACAAGGGAATTTGATAAAATCTATTTTGCAGGAGTCGAAGTCGTGACGACGAGCGAGGTTTTGAAGATGTACGAAACAGCAAGAGCCACTCTAATAGGCATGAAACATCTACGGGTGGAAGCCAACGACCTGTGTCCATGGAGAATAAGTTTTCTGCGCTTCGAGGTGCAGAGCAGAACTGAATTGTGATTGAGTGAATGCAGCCCAAATCTGATAGAAGAGTGCTCCCACCACCTGCTACTGAATCATATGCAGATTGTTGGCAGAATTAATAATAATAAAGCAACATTTCTTTTTTGTAAAAAAAAAAGTGTTTTTCATTATAAATATTTTAGCCCCAAAGCATGACAAAATGGTTTATTTAAAAAAAATTAAATCTAATAATTTTCATTACTGATTTTCTCGAGAGTAAATAAATCAATCTGTAAGAGTCCAAATGAGAAATATTTGAATGTATTTTGTATGAAATACTAACCTACGACTGATGTGGTGCTGCGTTAATTAATTATTTAGGCAAAGAAAACAAAGGAGATAAAAATTTGAAATAAAAAATAAATGAAACATTGAAATCAGGCAAACCTCATTATAAAGATAAAAATGGAAAAAATATAAAGGAAAATTTTATATTTTATCAAACAAGGGTTGTTTCCATACATCATTTCTCATTGCCGGCGTGTCATTGAATTTCACATTAAACCTATTTTCATGCTATAATTCTGAACATGAAAATAGGTTTAATGTGAAATTCAATGACACGCCGGCAATGAGAAATGATGTATGGAAACAACCCTTGTTTGATAAAAGACATGTGTTTTGTCGCTTTGCCATGCACGGCTTTCATAATCAAATCTGTAGCAATAGTTCCGAGCGCCAACAGTGTTTCGAGGAAAGTGATTCATGCGTGTGTTTGCTATGCGGTGAGAAATGCACCCAATATCATCTGGCTGAGTGCAACCACCGAGTGCTTAGCATTAATGACTATTCTAAAAATAAGTGAAAAACTTTGGAAACCCTGTCGCGCAAACTGATAAAATAAATTGTGAATCTTAATTTTAACCTTCTAAGATGTAAGTTGAAAGTTGTACTCAATTGAGTTTTCAATAAAGACCATATATTTTATATTTTTGCAGTTTTTCTTTCAGTTTGCCCTGTTTTCATGAAATCCACCTTGAGAGTGATACATACCATTCAAAAAAGGAATGCCGGAACTTTCTTAAAATGCCACGCCTAATTTTTTTTTTTTGGGCAGAACATGAGTAACATGACCAGAGTAGTATATAAAATACCATGGTATTTTATATACTACTGACAAGTCGCCACTGGCGCGTCGTGAAATTCTTGGCCCTATATTGTGTCAAAGATTATGAAGTGGCTTTAAGTGAACATGCTGAATATATGCCATATTGCCGTGTTCTTGCTTAATTCTATTTTGAAGACTTTCGATGAAACCTATAAAGATAGGCTTGTGCTGTTGTGCTTATTGGATTATGGTGAATTGGAGATTCTCAGGGCAGGCCAGATTATAGTTAGTATTTGTGGCTCAAAAGCAGATGATTTGGGCAATGTCAGCGATGTCTACTCGTTTGCTCGGCGCGTCCTGTTTGAGAAATTCGACGTACTGCCTACGATTTTTCCATCTACCTTCCAGGAGTGCTGTAATTTGTTACGAGTTTTCTCTACTGTGAATAACAACTGTAGACGTTAATCTGTATCGTGAGCAGTGTGATTTATGTGTGCCAATACCAACAAAGCTGCAGTACGGCGAGTATTGAGAGCAGAGGCAAATTTCTTGTTTGTTTCAGTTCAATGATGTATGAGTTTCAGTGAGTTGTTTACTAGTATACTGTAAGTCTATTTCTCCGTAATGTAATTTTTTTTTTCACTCGGATGCTTTGACTTGTTGTGGAGAAATAAAATGAATTGAACAACTGCTATTTCTCAGCAGACTCCTTTGATTTGCATTTTTCAAATGTATAATTGCCAGTCAATTGGAGTGACAAAATCTGAGCAGGGCAGAAACTGAATCCCAACTCTATTGGATTGCTCGAAAAATGAATAGCTGATAAGCTCAAACATTTGGCATTGAAAAAAAAATTACAGTGAAACAGAGGTACAGTCGATATGTAACTTCACTTCAAAATTTGGTGTCTATGCACAAGTTTTATTCGGAGCAAGAGTTTCATAATTGTATAACTAATTTGTAAATTCTATTGATGGAGTGCGCCAGAGAATTAAAACTGTAATAATATCACACCACGATCTACAATAAAAGTGATGCAATAATAGTTTAAAGATTTTTTTTATTTGTTTTTAGATGCATACACTAAACAAAGTTGTAGCACGTTTTTTATGTTGTGTAGGGGTGGCAAGAAGTCAGTATTGCTCTACATAGAGAGCTCTCTGTCCTGCCCCCTGTGCATATAGCTAGACAAAGAAGGGGACCTTGAAGGGCACCAAGTCAGGAATGAGATTCATATTTAAACTTGTAGAATATCTTGGTAATAATTATTAATTAATCAATAGCATTAATAATAAAAAAAGAAGCTACGGTCATAAAATCATTTCTCTCAAAAATAAAATACCACATGTGACTAAATATCCTTAAAAACTACCTCTCAATCTCCAGATAGAAAATGCATCATGACAACAAAACTTTACGGATCAACCCCACTGACACCATGCCACTCAAAATAAGTAATCATAGGGTTAGCACGCAAAGTAATGTCCATAACTATTAAGCTACACAAAAATTGGCCTCATCTTTAAAAATGTCTGATATAAAAGGAGAGGAGGTGGCGTGTGGTGGCAGCGATATCTATCTTCAAGTTGCATTGATGGCAGTAGCCACACCCCACCTAAAGTCGAGGCTGCTGTTTCTTCAGTTCCCATGGGAAACCGTTCATTTTTGCTCCTTGCTCTCTGCATCGTCATTCTTCTCATTCTCCTCCTGAAAAACAAAATAAAGTAGTGTAATATGTAGTAATAATGAACTTGTAAAGAAGGTGAAAGCATAGTTGTTGGAAAACCAGTTCTTTGATATCGGCAAAGTTATCACTCTAAGTAATTAGTATTATTTCTCAAGTGCCTTAAGAAACAACAATTTTGTACCGAGTAGCACCCTTCAAAGGAGTGTATTGTGCTTCAGTAGTTTGCTTCTCTATAAACCGCAACCAAATTTTTCATGCATTTATAGCTTTGATTGTATACTTTTGCTATGATTTAATTTAATGTAAGATACTTCAAATGTACCGTATAAATGGATAATAAATATTGTAAAAATCTCACACCTTGTCCTTTACATCTTCAATCTCCTGTTTCTCTTTGTTATCCTTCTCCTTCTCTTCCTTCTTTTCCTCCACAGCCTCTTCTTGTTTGGGCTTTTCTTCCACTTTAGGAGGCTTCGGGAGATGGGAGTTCAGATCTAGGTTTGCACACATTTCGTCCCAGTCAGGGAAGCACCTTTCCTTCACTCGGTTGACCAAACCAACCAGATTAGGGCACGACTCGCCCATGAAGTCACGGAGTGGGTACTCAACCTCCTTGTCCATGAAGTAAATTTGCGCCAGGTTAGCAAAAGTAACCACATCGAGCTGAAAATTATCCACAACACAATATATGAATGCATCCATTTGAGAGAAGTCAGCTTAGAAAAGAATGCATTAATTTTAAATTGAAAAAGAACAAAGCCGTTAACCAAAGCAACAGCAGCAGTATGGAATGAGGTACTTTTTAATGTTGATTTAGCAAAATCTTTGCGAGAGGTCCAAGAATTCAATATGATTTAACCTTTTCTTTAATTGCAAATTTTTAACAATTTGGACAAGAGCAAAGCAATTCTCAATACTGGAGAAGTAACTCGGCACTCGACTCATTTAGACCACTATTTGTGAAGTTTGGAGTTCTTACTGTCTATTCATTATACATATTATAATTTGCGTAAATTTCCTGAGAAGTTCAAGATTAATCGTGACGTCCCAGGTCTTGTAGTACGAACTACGGCATATGTTGAAACAAATTCATTTGTTAGGCCAATCTCGCTGAATTGTGTGAATGAAAGTCCTGAGATAATGATAGCAAGAGTATATAATAAATTACCCAATGTATTGAAAGAAATAACTGATTGTGGCAACTTTGTTAAATGTAATGCTGAAGTGTCAATTCTATGATATGAATGAACATTGGAGATGTAATTTTGAATGCTTAAAATTAACAGAGCGAGACTCAGCTGCAGGGTTTTCGGGGGTGGTTTTCCCCTGCAGTATTTGAGGAGGGTTAGCCATATTCTTGCCAACCCCTGCCAAATTATTAATGGCGTGCAAGCTCTCTCTATCACCTGATGTTGTATAATTGATTAAGCTTAATTATTATCTCATTTTTTGACTTGAACAACGACCTAAATGACAGATTTGATCGCGAGATTAATTTCACTCGAAATACAAATTTAATGCGCCAACGATTCTGTGCTTTAATGCTAGGTTGCTGAAAAATAGGAAAAGTATGAAAAAAAGCTGAAATCGCGAGTCTGTTTTAAGAAAATCAAGCTGATATTGTGGGCATAAATAAAACTACTTGGCTTTCGCCTGATATAATGGACCACAAATTTGTGCCGCCCTCTTATGTAGTTTTTTGCAAGGGCAAGGACCAAGTCGCAAGGCGGCCCGGCCGGCGGTGTCCTGCTCGCAATTCGCCCTCATCTCCAGCCAAAGCACCATACAGACGTGGTGCGTGCAAAAGGAGCCCAAACTCTCAGCTTCGCTTTGAGAAAATTGCACGGGTGCACTCCGCGCGCAAAAAGAATTGCGTATCTCACGCTTGTAAAGCCGGGTCTTTTTTACGGAACCCCAGCGTGGCACCCGAGCACCGACTGCACAGCTAAAAAAACTGGAGAAAATCCAAAAACTTCATACACGGCAAACACCTTCCGACGGTTAAGGAGCAAAAAAAATCATGCCTGTTGAAATTCAGCTCCTGTACACAGACCTTTTATTTTTTTAAAAAGTGACGCGTGAGCGCGCATAACTACGGGGCCAAAGTTGTGGAGTGACGACAGCAATTACCCCCGTGCTCTGCAGCCGGACGCGAGAACAAAATTCGGACGCGAGGCGTTTTCTTTACCGCGTCGTCAAACCGTGGAATGACACGCCTCCCGCCTTGAAAGACTGTAAGGTGGCACAGTTTCCAGCGCTGTGCAAGGCGTATTTGTGGCAAAAACTTGATACATAGTCCCCTGACCAATGGCTCTAGCGGCCGGTGTGCTCTTCTTCGAAGGAGAGTGCGCAGTGCTTTAGCAAGTTGTTTGCAAGCGAAGAGCCATATTTCCATTCACACCTCTAACCAACATTCTTAACATGTATTTTCAGTGCTTTATATTTAATTTTTGTGATTCACTTGATGTAACATGTTGTGTATTTCATTGTATCTGACAATGAATGGAGAATAAATAAATCAATCAATCAAACATAATGACCTGTTGTTAAGGCAAATAGGAGATATATTATATGTCTAATGATATAAATTTCGATCTAATCTTATCTAACCAACAATAATAATAAAATAGGAGATTACTTACAGAAGTTGGTTCATCTCCGAAGAAAAAGGGTTTGTCAGAGAGTAACTCTGACAAAACCTTTAGATCATTCTTGCCGAACTCAAGAATTTCGTCTGGTTTGTGAACGCCAATTCCCTGTGCCTTGACCTTCTTGCTGCCTTTGCGAGCAAAGTTGATTTTGAAGAGGAAGTTGAGAATGCCCTGGGGAATCTTCGTACCCATTGCATGTTGCAAGTTCAACTTATAGCCTTTGAGCATGTTTTCTGGGTGCTTGGACCTCCACCAAATCACCACCCTGTAAGAATTTTGTTACACACATTAAAATGTAAATAATCACTTATTTAAATAGAGACTGGGCTTTTTCCTCGTTGTAAAAAGCCCGACCTCTTCATTTCCATGACAATCTCCTTGAAAGTCAATTTCTTGAAACAGATTCATTATTATTATGAAAATAAAACATCCGGAAGTGCGAATAATAATTAGTTAGAATAAGACAAGTGCGATTCATTCTGTTTTTACACCCCATGCCCAGATTTGAAGTTAGCCTATTGAGATTTTCACAGCATAATAACAACCCTAAATTTTTTTGAAAAAATTACCAAAATTTTGGGTTTTATGGGACATTTTGAAAAAATTAAAAAGCCTAATTTTCTCGGGTTCTATTGATTGTAGAAGAAAAATGCGGATATAGTTGAATTAGTCTTGACGAGCTCTACAAATTTGCTGTGAGTAAAAAGTTGTAATCAAATTTCAAGGTCATCTTTCATGACCTTAAATTTTCAAACAAATTTGAAAATGGGCAGCCATGTACACGGACGGAAAAACAACTATTTACTTGTATTAAATCTTAAAAATATATATATATATATATATATATATATATATATATATATATATATATATAAATAATTGGAAAATTAATGAGGAAATGGAATGATTGATATCACTATTTCAGGGAGGTGATTTCGAGACCATTATTTTAAGACTTGTGCTGTTAAATAAGGCTTTCGTTTTTCAAGACTGGATTATTCCAGAGATTGAACGAGTTTAATTTCTTGTATTATAATTCTCATAAGTTCCGCTAATATAATTTTTTTTTTTTTTAATATTTTTAACGCAAGAGACAGATATAACATAGTCTCTTCTGATTATTACTATCCTTCAATTGACTTATAGCGTGATACTGCAATACAATATATTCTGGGCTGACCACTCATTTGCAAATAATTCGTCGTAAATGACAATGAATTTAAACCTCTTAATCTAGATAAATATGAATGTACAAACCAGAAGAGGTGATTTTCAATCATGGAGATCATGGCATGGCTGAGCGTCTTTTGCTCGTTAGTAAGGTCCTTGTCAAGGTCTTTGTCAAACTTGGCAGCCAACTCTTTGACAATGATGGCCGAATCAGCAATTTCTTCACCATTTAGCTCGATGAACGGCAACTGTCCTTTTTTGGAGCGGAACTTGATCTTGTGGTCCACGTTCTGTAACCATGAATTTACATTTGGATTAATTCCCCTATTTTATGCCAATACCTCCCCTAGGGTGTGCCCCACCCAAACAAAACCAGTAAAAAGTTATCATTCAAGGGGCACCGGCAACAGTTTAGTTTTTGTTTGACATATTATTCCATTCAGTCTAGGCAAAATATTTTAGCATTATATTTAAAAATTTATTACAATTGATACGACTTCAAAACCGGCAAAATTGGCGCTAACGCTGATCAAAGACAAACAACGTAACGTAACCACGATGGAGCAAATGAATTCGTGGTTCAGCATATGTACCAAAATGAAAAAAGAACTATTTATGTAGACGAAGACCCGGGGTTCCAGAACATCAATTATATACATACATACAAAGAGGGCGTTTAGCCAGAGAGAGAATCCAAGAGTTCCTAATTTCTTGTTTAACATGACTGGATGCACTTAACTTAAGGAAACTTACCTCATACTTCAGACCTGCGAGACGCAGCCAGGTCTCTACCTTCAAACAATAGGGAGACAGCGAGGGTAGGAAGGGCGTCCGGCTGAACTGGTAGAGGTACACGACGTTCTCTTCAAAGTCAGGCTTGTGCACCTTCGGCGACTCCTTCACCGGCTCTTTTGTCTCCTTCACCTCTTCCTTCGTCTCTTCCTTGGTATCTTTTTCGGAGGCCTTTTCAGACTCAGCAGGGGCGGCAGGTGCCGTCTTTGTTTCCTCGCTCGTCATTGCTATTCTTCCTTCGTCTTACGACTCTGTCTGTTTGGCTCAACACTCACCTCACCTCAACTAGCCACTAACGCTAGCCTCAGAAAATGGCAGCCAAGCCAAGCCATGACGTCACCGCCCACGAAGGGTCAGGTGACCGAAACGATCCAATCACAGAGAACTGGTTGCCAATATCAGCGGATCGAAACTGCCGCCGAAATTTTAAACCGAAATTCACTAAATTGTTGCCTAAAGAGAAATGCGTAGTGGTGTGGAAGTGGAACCTTTTGAAGAATATGTTTCGATATGTTTAACAGGCAGAAGAATATATGGAACTATAAAAAAGACAAAGTCAGTTACAGAGGCCCGACACCCTTATTGACGGTATTCGATATAAAATACGTTTCCATGGAAACATATCAAACACATCGACGCTCTCGCCTGAACACCCCGCTGACACGCCCAAAGACCCATACCATTGAAACCATGGAGCCACATGGGAGCACTGCACTGCATCTTGGTTCCCTGAAAATTGCGCTTTTGGATTTTTGCGCGTCACGATATTATATCTTTGCTGCTCATGCAGGTTTACACCAAAGACCATGAATTTAAAACTTTTTTTTATGAAAATTCCGATTATAATATATCATACAAAATGAATGATAAATGAAAAATCTGTCACTTGAGAATATATTATTTATTTATTTTTTTATTCTCCATTCAGATACAATACACAGATGACAGAAATATACAATAATACACAACAACTTACATCAAGTCAAATAAAATTTAAAAAAACTGAAAATACGTGTTAAGAATGTTTATTAGAGGGGTGAATGGAGTAATGGCTCTTTGCTAGCAAACAACTTGCTAAAGCACGGCGCACTCTCCTTTGAAGAAGAGCGCACCGGCCGCTAGAGCAATGGTCAGGGGGACTATATACGAATTAAGTTTTTGCCACAGATACGCCTTGTACAGCGCTGGAAACTGTGCCGCCGTACAGTCTTTCAAGGCGGGTGGCTGTCATTCCACGGTTTGACGACGCGGTATGAAAACGCCTCGCGTCCGAATTATGCATATTAATTATTATTAATAGATTTAAATTTGAAATTAATTATATATAATAATTTAAATTTTAATGTCCGAGGCTTGAAAACCATTGATTTATTAGGAGGGGATATCGCTTTTGGTATAGAGGAGGGCTTTCAGACCGTCTACAAAGGAAAGTCAGTGATAGCCACCCCAAGAAATTGACGATCGCTGATGTGTGGAATGTGGATCATTGAATTTAACACCTAAAAAGTAATGGGGGACGCGGCTGATATCGAAAAGTACTGTTTTCAATGCTTATTTCGAGGGCTTAAATGAAGGAATTTCGAAATTGTGCTCAATTTTTAATATTAATAACAATAAATCAACCACTATAAACGACTATAAAATTTTCTTATACAATTAACAACCCACAAAACCCATCGAGGAAAAGCCGATTTTAAATTCAAATCACCATAAAATGTTTTGTTTGATTCCTCTTTAACAGTCTGGGTAGGAACATACAAATCACACTCGTCTGGAAATCATGAACATCACTTTATTTTTATTTTTGGACATAATGCAGATATTTACACAAATCTGCACGGCTCAAAAGATAAATGGAAAAAAACTGCAAGAAATTCAAACTGAGCGTAATGTGGCCTCTCGCACAACAAAGCGGCTATAGCACCACCGCCAATAGCACCATCTGAAACAGCATCTGAGATATTTTTGATTTTCGAAAACACATCTTTTTTTAAAATCAGCGATTTTAAGCCCTTGTAAAATGGGAGAATTTGATTAATATAAAAAAAGTCCTTCATAACTATTTGTCTACACCCTTAGGGCAACCTGCAACCAATATGCTCCAAATACTATTCAAATCGGTTAACCCCAACCAAATTTGGGTTATTTTTATTTATTATTATTTGTTATCCCTCTTGGGAAAGGCACCAGTAGCGGTAGCAGACAGGCTGCTAAATCGCAAGGGCCGATAACTCGGGTGCTCCCCTTTCGGAGCCGATAACACGGTGATCTTGCGACCCACTGGGCCGGGGAGAGAGGAGCATAGGATGGGTTTGTTGTTTGGAATTTGAAGGATGAGGAAGGTGAGCGGCTGCGGCCTATGAATCGAATGGGAACTATGCCGGCATTCGCCTGGAATGTCTGATGGAAACCGCAGAAAACACCAGACTGCATAGCCGAAATTGCAGGCGAAATGCCTGCAATTTCTCCCGAATCTGCTTGTCGCAGTGATTAATGCACCTCCTATGATTTCCTGAAGTCTTGTGAACAAGCCGGCCAGAATCAGAACTTTTTCAAGCCCTGACCCTAGCCAGGATAGAACCCAAGGCCTCCAGATTATCAGCCAAGCGCACTAACCACTGTGCCACACAGTCGGTTTATTGCTTTCAAATAAAAACTTTCAAATAAAATGAAATTTTATTTCGTGTACAACTTGTAGCAAGAGAAGAAATGAATTGAATACCTTTTAGGGTGTCAGCCTTTTTGGGTCTCTGGGGAACATAGATGTTTTCCTGATATTGTCCAGGCCAAGGAACAACATTACCACTCTTTCCAGACCAATTCCTCCACCTGCGTGGGGAGGACATCCATAGCGGAAGGAGTCAATATATGCAGCAATTTTGATAAGGTCTGTAAAAATTTCAAGATAGAGGGTTGACTCATTATTATTATCATTGTTTATTCTTCACAAGTAGTCATACATGAAAGCGAAAAAAAAAAAATGTGAAGAAACGGCAGCACCTCTGGCGAGCACGTCGCTAAAACGCGAAGCCTCAAGAGAGGTCCGCGCCGAGATGGGCCGAGAATTATTATTATTATTATTCTTTATTGACTTATGAGACGTCGACACGATGTAATTACTCACTGCGACGCGCCCCATTTGCAACACAGTACAAAAAGAAATGTAAACTGAAGAGGACAAAAAAATATTACATTGTATTCATATACTGGAAAAACTCTTCTCTGTCATAAAATTTGTGAACATCAGATTCAGATTAAGAATTATTTTTATTTCATTAAGTCATCAACGAATTGACAACTTTTAAAATACGTCATTCACATATTTATACAATTTACAAATCAAATTTACAACTGAAAAATTCGTGGACAAAACACTTCAAATTAGCTTCAAACAATTTATACCGCGGCTCCAAACGAATCGAAACAGGCAACTTATTGTACAAAGCAGACATGCAAGTCACAGGGTTTTGGTTTGAAATTAACAATGCCTGGGCAGGAGTATACAAATCGCTCTTAGCCCTTGTCTGATAATCATGAACTTCGCTTGTTTTTTTAAAATAATGCGGATATTTGCGGACAAATTTGCAAGTTTCATACAGATAAATGGAAAATACTGGAAGAAAATCAAACCGAACGGAAAGCGGCCTAGCAGAACTCTGTACTGCGCCAATAGCGCTCACCCGCGAGAGCTCGCACGACTTTTTTCTGCGCCAAAGATACCTCGGCCATCGCTCGATTGGATCCTCCCCAAATCACAATACCGTAACTAATCGTCGCATTGAGTAATTCCATCGTGGCGACGTCTCATAAATCAATAAAGAAAAAAAAATAATCACAGAATGACAGTATGCAAAATAAACCATTTTCAAGTACCTTTCATCAACTGTTTTTAACAAATTATTCATTAAGAAAACAGCACTATTTAATTTGCCCACAATGTAATCAGCATGCTCTGACCATTTTAAATCGTGCGAAACATACAAGCCGAGAAATTTAGTCAAGTCTGATTTGGTTAAATTCACACCGTTTAACGTCAAATTAAAATTGTCACAATCTGAAACAGCATGCCGAAGCTGGAAATGCAGTACTACTGTTTTAGACTGATTTAGAGTTAGCATTAGATCATTATTATTGCTATTGCTATTTATTGACTTATGAGGCGTCACCATGATGTATATCTAGTATATTCCAGACTATGATTTTTGGGTTGGCACTACTGCATATATACTGGCTGGTTGCTACCGGTTTATTTAGGCGGTTTTTCTTATCACTATTGGTTGATAGTGGCGTTTTTCCTACAGCTGATTGCCTGCCACCTTACATTTTTATTGTTAAGTTACAGTGCGTTTTTGTGTTTTTTCTCCCTCGAAATGTGTTTTAATTGTGTATCCGTGCGTTTATTGTGTTTTTCTTGTGTTTCATAGTAAAGTATTCGCAATTATTTTCGTATGTATCCAAATGTTTGGTTAATTATGGTGTTCGTGGGTGTGTTTCTTTCAGCTGCTTGGCTTCATTTAGTTCACTTTTAATGCTCGTGATACTGTGTTTTTGTGCTGCATCAAGGAGTGTTTCAATGTGAATTGGTGTCTTTAAAGCGTTTTTTTTTTGCTGGTGATCGAGAGATGCATTATTACGTTTTAGTGTTTTTTTTTTCTTTCATTTCATTTTGCATTGGTTTGTGTGTGTTTGTTTTTGGTTAAATTTATAATTGATCGCTGTGTATTCTTAATAGTCTTCAATATCCTTTGTGTCTGTGCTGTTTTATTGTATCGATGCCTTTTTTGCGTTTTTTATGTTGGTGAGTAGCATGCTACGTTTTGATTTTTTTAAATTTCACTGACGGTGGTTGGTTTTTTTTATTTTTTTTTTTATTCCATCTTATCTATATATTTAATTTAATTATTTGTGATCGCTGTAGATATTTTAGCATTAATAATTGTCATTTAAATGCGTTTTGTATTGATTTTTTTTTCTGGTGGTGAGTGGTGCATTTTTTTTTTTTACTTTTTTCTTGGTGTTTTTATGCATTGCATGGACGGATTGTGTTCTTTTTTAGAAATCGTTTGCAATTAAGTGGTTCCCATATTTACTATTACCGTATTTTTTGCGTAGTTAAGTTGTCTTTTTAAATTTGTATAAATGCGTTATTTGTTTTTTTTTTTAGTTTTTCAGGACGCCCCTAATGTATGTATATTTATGTACTTCTCGTGGAAATTAAGTCTTTATTCTTTATTTATCGTATTTTTCCCGCGGCCAATATTTTTTATGTAGTGCGCTCTGTACGCTTTTTCGTTGTTTAAAAATTGCGATCTTTATTAAACTTTTTTATGTTGTTGTTGTTTTTTTTTTTTTTTTGCTGCTAGTTGTCTTTATTTATCGATTTTTGTGTTTGGTAAATGTCTTTTTTATGTAGTGTTATTGCTTTTAGTTAGTTAAGTTTGGTCATATTTATTTAACTTTTCGGTATATTCCAGACTATGATTTTTGGGTTGGCACTACTGCATATGTACTGGCTGGTTTCTACCGGTTATTACCGGTTTATTTAGGTGGTTTTTCTTATCACTGTTGGTTGATAGTGGGCGTTTTCCCTACAGCTGATTGTCTACTTCCTTTCACTTTTATTGTCAAGTTTTTTTTTGTGTTTTATGCTCCCTCAAGATGTGTTTTAATTGTGTCTCGGTGCGTTTTTCGTGTTTTTCTTGTGATTAATAGTAATGTGTTCGCTTTATATTGGTATATATCCAAATATTTGGTTAAATATGGTGTTCATGGGTGTGTTTCTTACAGCTGCTTGGCTTCATTTAGTTCACTTTTAGTGCTCGTGTTACTGTGTTTTTTTGCTGCATCAAGGAGTGTTTTATTGTGTATTGGTGCCTTTTTAGCGTTTTTTCTGCTGGCTCGGAACGCGCGCCGTTGAACCGCACAAATTGGGTACGCCCGACCAGAAAATTTTTCAGCCACTTCAGCGACTGCCCTCGGACGCCGTAATGCTCCAGTTTTGATAGCAATCGCTCATGGGGCACCCTGTCGAAGGCTTTGCTCCAGTCTAAAAACTGCATGGACGTGGGCACCGCTTTTGGCGTCGAGAGCAAAGGCCCACGATTCCAGCGTTCCGAGCAGCATAGTGGTGCAGGAGCGGCGCGCGCGGAAGCCGTGGTGCGAGTTTGGGATGACGTTGGAGCTCTCAAAGTGGTTTGTCAGTTTGTCACGCACGAATTTTTCCAGCTGCTTTCCGACAAGTGATGTTATGCTAATTGGCCGGTAATTTTTGAAGTCTTTTTTATCGCCATCCTTTGGAATGGGTGTCACGGAGGCGGACTTCCAGTCAGTTGGTAGCTCACCTGAGCTAAGGGAGAGGTTGTATATGTGCGTGAGACTAGGGCCAAGGGCGCGGGCACAATTTTTTAGCAAAATCGCCGGCAGGCCGTCTGGGCCGGTGGCCGAGTTTATTTTTAGAGCTTTTTAGAGCAGCCGGTGTGCTTTTCTTCGAAGGAGAGTGCGCCGTGCTTTAGCAAGTCGTTTGCTAGCGAAGAGCCATTTCTCCATTCACCCCTCTAATCAACATTCTTAACATGTATTTTCAGTTTTTTAAATTTTATTTGACTTGATGTAAGATATGTTGTGTATTGTATATTTCATTGTATCTGAATGGAGAATAAATAAATAAATGAAGTCGGATGAGCACTTCCTGCTCGCTGATTGACAGCTCATCAATGTCGTTATGGGCAGAACTATGGCTGGAATGGAATTTGGAGCGCGCCGCATGAAGAGAAAGATGGTCAGCCCGGCCGGCGAAAAATTCTTTTTAAACGTTGCACTGAATTGAGCTGCCACCTCTTTTGCGGATGTGAAAATTCTGCCACCGGCAACGAAAGTGGTTGCATTAAGAGGCACTTTAGTTTTTGATTTGATGAAGCGCCAAAAAACTTTGGAACCCTCGCGCCCCCGCCCGAGAGACCAAAACCACCTGTCCTTTGCCAGACGAACTGCACCCTGTGTTGATTTCCGCGCCGCCAGGAATGCATTGCGCGAGTCGGGAGTTTTAACTCGCAACCACTTTGAAAACAATTCGTCTTTTATAGCCAGCAGCTTTTTCAAGTCCTTTGTTAGCCACGGAACAAGATTTTTCTTTGCCCTAGAACGCTTTTTGGGAACACACTCCTCGACGCACGGATAAACACTTAACTTGAATTTTTCCCACGCTTCGTTAACATTATTTTCCCGGGTGACTACGTTAAGTTTTTTCTTCATATTCTCATTCAGTTCATCCCAGGCGGCTCTCGCATAGTTGGGCCGCGAATTTGGGGCTTCAATTGGGCGGCGGGAGTCCACTGAGAGGGACACATGCAGGGCGTCGTGATCTGACACGCCGGCAACAACATCGGCCGCCAGCACTAAGCTCGGAGCATCACAAAGGAATAAGTCAATTGCTTTCGAGCTTGTGTCGGTTGTTCTTGTTGGGTCTTTAATCAAAATAATTGCCGGAAATTTATCTGGCCCAGTCGCGGCATTCGCAGTAGATTGTGGACTTGAAGCAAAGCCTTGTAAAGCCTTGAACGAAAAACTGCTGTGGCTAATAAAAAAAATGATTGATTTTGCCAGTAAAAACCGCTTAAGATTGAACGAAAAGAAAACTCAGTTGCTGCAAATAAATACTGCTCAAACTAGTAAATTGGAACCGCCTGTAATCAGAATTAACGACGCCGAAATAGAAGTGGTAAATCAAGCAAAAAATACTTGGTGTAATGCTCTCTGATACAATGAACTGGAGCACCCAATGCGATCAGGTTGTAGCGAAACTGAGAAGTACCACGTACCTTTTTGTTAAATTAAGGCAGCGCATTCAAACTAAATTGCTAAGAGATGTATATTTCGCCCATGTTCAAAGTCACTTACTATACTCAATTGTAATTTGGGGTGGGTCGCCTATGTTGGAAAAGGTTTTCATTGCTCAAAAGAGAGTTATCCGTGCGATGGCAGGTAAAAGATACTGGAAGGCATTGACACCTGTCGAGTCTTGCCGACCACTTTTTGAAGAATATCAGATCCTGCAAGCCTTCTCTGTGTACGCCGTTGAATGTGTTAAATTTTACAAAACGTATCCTGAATTGTTCCTCAAAAATTCTGAAAGCAAGGTGCACCAGAATCGCAGTACTCTGAAGTGGACTGAGCATTCAGATTATGTGGTTGGATAATTAAATAGTGCAGTTTTTTTATAAACAATTTGATGCGTTCTGTTGATGTGAAATATTTGAAAATGGTTTACTTCGCTTATTGTCAGTCTATTATGAGTTACGGCATTGTAATTTGGGGAGGGTCGAATCATGCGATGGACGAGGTTTTTCTGGCGCAGAAAAAAGTGGTGAGAGCTCTTGCGGGTGAGCGCTATTGGCGCAGTGCGGGGGCCGCTTTGTTCTGCGCGGCCGCTTTCGCTAGATTCGACTTTCTGCCTGTGTTTTCAATTTACCTCTTCGAATCGTGTAAATTTGTTCGTAAATATCCGCACTATTTTCAAAAAAACAAGTGAAGTTCATAATTATCAGACAGGGCAAAAAGGGATTTGTATGTTCCTGCTCAGACTTTGTTAATTTCTAAGCAGAACCCTTTGAATGGTTCATGGTTCAGCTGCTTTGTATAACAAATTGGCTGTTTTGATTCGCTTAGAGCCTCGATACAAGATTTTTGAAAGTAGTTTGAGGCGATTTGTTCATTCACATAAATTTTATAGCAAAGAAGAGTTTTTTTAACTAATTGATACATTGTAATATTTTTGTTGTTTTCTACTCTCTATTTTCTACTTGTTTTGTACTATGTTGCAAATGGGGCGCGTCGCAATGAGTAATTACATCGTGGTGACGCCTCATACGTCAATAAAGATCAATAATAATAATAATATGATCCCTAGAATTTTCAATCATCTTCTCGATAGAATCAAAAACATTGATTGTTATCAAGTGTTTAAGAAGGAATTGGAATTAATATTCTACGACAAAATGTTCTATGACGTGCAAGAATATTTTTTGTGTAAAATTGTGTGAACTGTATTTTAAATGTATTTAAAATTTAGTAAGCTGTTAATATTGAGATATAGCTGTATTACAGTGACCTATTCCAAAGATTATTTCTGTACATATGTTGCTCTATACGGAATAAATATTATCTGAATCTGAATCATTAAATCCAACCAAACAAAAAAATTAAAATCTGACCTTCCCCAACCCCAACCTAATCCAAATCTTTTCTTCATCTTTTTCTCTTTTTTAGTTAACAGCTTTGTCTGTCATCATCGCGTAAAGGGCCAAAATGTTGAACGAAGATAAGTAAATCTTAAACTAATGCGTATTTTATGGAACTCACCTATGTTATGGTGTTTTGCTCGCTCAGTCAACATGTCTGGATCATGGATACGCTGCGCTCCAGAAAGAATTTCCTCACCACGCATGAACATATCATATGAGTTGCTCCATTTCTGTAGGAAAAATGGGTTTTACAATTATAACATGGTTTAGTTATTATTATTGTTGTTTTTTCTTCACAAATCAAGTCACATGGGGAAAAAATTTGAGTTAAATTTGCAAGTGTGTAATCTGCTCTGCTCAAAATACGCGTTAAGTTCAGAAAGGGATCGTCCGGTGGCGTGGAAACTTGATAACCAAACATAGAAGCAAGAGGGGCAAGAGGGGAAAATTCTGCGTGCAGCTTTTGCGAGCCCAGCGGCCGGAGAACTCCGTCCCGCCGAGGGATAGAGCCGGCCCAACGCGTCTAAAGAGTTGAGCCAGAGTCTCCGGACCATCCAGAAAAACGTGTCCTCAAGTTCAAGTTTATTTAGTTTTGGTTTAAGCTAAAATATACATTTTACAGTATAGGCTACTACCGCCCTATTAGTGTTACATCGCTAGTCGGAAAAGCACTCGAGAGAATTGTTCGGGACCAAATTTGCGAATTTTTTGAAAAAGAAAACCTAATTCCGGCCACTCAGCATGGCTTTCGCTCCAAACGCAGCTGCGTAACACTTCTCACGGGAACCATTGACAACTGGACGGCGGCGCTCGATGAGAAAAGCGGCTCGCACTTGCACGCTGTTTTCCTGGACTGGAGCAAAGCGTTCGACCGAGTCCCGCACGCGCGCCTGCTCTCGAAACTGGACCACTACGGGATTAAAGGGCGCCTCCTGTCGTGGCTCAAAAGTTTCCTAGTCGGTCGCTCCCAATTTGTTACGTTCAACGGAGGCAAATCCGAACCCTGTGAAGTTTCCTCTGGTGTTATCCAGGGTAGCGTTTTGGGGCCCCTTTTGTTCAACATTTTTGTGGCCGACCTCCCCGAGTGCGTGGCAAACAGCCAAATCGTCCAGTACGCCGACGACGCAACAATTTACAAAAGAATCACCTGCCAAGAAGACGCCGACCAATTGCAAGATGATTTGTGTAATGTGGACATTTGGTGTGCAAACAACGGGATGAGTTTAAATGCGAAAAAGTGTAAAGTGATCGACATTTCTCACGCGCGCGTCCCCCTGTATTTTATGTACACCCTTGGCGAAACCGTCCTCGAGTACGTCAACCAGCAAAAATTGCTCGGCGTCAATTTTTCCAGCGACCTTCGGTGGCAGGTCCACACAGATATCGTTCGGGCAAAGGCGGCGCAAACCCTCGGCTTCGTGGCCCGCAACCTGCGCGGCTGCACCCCCCGAGTTAAAAGAATCGCGTACCTCTCTCTCGTAAAGCCAGGAATGACCTACGGACTCCCTGCATGGCACCCGACGACGCAGGTTAACTTTAAAAAGCTCGATAGAGTGCAGAAACGGGCGCTGCACTTTATTCACGGCCGCACCCTTCCGCCGGCAAACGAGCAGAGAGTTATGCCCCTCGACATGCACCTCAGGTACACCGACCTTCTCTTTTTTAAAAAGTGCCTGAGCGGCGAGACTGATTTTGACGCGCGCGCCCGAATCATCGAGGGCCGAGTGCTGCGAGGCGACAATAGTCAGCATCCCCGCCTCCAGCCACCCCCGGTCCGAAGTGTGTTCGGCCAGCGCGCTTTTTCCTTCAGGGTCGTCAAGCCCTGGAATGACCTGCCACCGACCCTCAAAAACTGCCCAACCAGCAATTTTCCCTCCCTTTGCAAGCAGCATTTGTGGCAGCAATTTTAAAGTGTCGTGATTGTTCTTTTTTTTTCGATAGTGTGGGTTCACGCGGTGGCCGATCTCTTTTTGATGTCGGGCGTTTTAGCAGACCTCTGCTAGTTGTGATACCCTTTCTGCTCATTTTTTCAATTTAATTTTTTTTCATGTATGACTTGAGTAGAATAAACAACAATAGATAAACAACAATAGGCTTTTGCAAAACAAGTCAGAAACAGAGATTAATGCTAATTGTTTAGAGCGAAGAATTCGCCCATGTCGTAGAACTGATTTTCTAACACATAGTATTTCACCATTTTAACAAGCTCATCATCATTATTACAACATTTAATATATTTTGGTAATGCATTAAATATTCTTGGTATCATAGCAGCAGGACTTTCCTTACATATTTCTAATCTACATGAGACTTCAACAAGATCTTCTCGACTCACATTATTCTGGTTATTTCGTGTAACTCTCCTATTATCCTATTATATTACCAGGATCACTGTACTTTTTGAACATTTGGCGATTGTTATTATTATTGATCTTTATTGACGTATGAGGCGTCACCACGATGTAATTACTCATTGCGACGCGCCCCATTTCTCACTAGGAACTTAATACACTCAAGAATATACAAAGAGTATACCGTGAGGATTTCGTATTTTCTAAAGAGTGGCCTACAGGATTCTAGAGCTTTATACCATTTACCGTGGTAAAGTCCAGCAAGAGCGCGCAAAATTCTCTTCTGGGCTACAAACACTTCTGACATTTGACTGGAGCCACCCCAGATAATTATAGCGTACAGGATATGGCTCTGAACGTGGGCGAAGTAGACCATTTTCAAGACATTATCAGATACTTTATCCTTCAGTTTTGTGAATTGATAAGTTACAGATATCAGTTTACATACAACATTTTTACAGTGCTCCACCCAATTCATAGTATCAGTAATATGTACGCCAAGGAGTTTACCAGACTTAACAATTTGAACTATTTCTTCATTTATATTAACTAACGGTGCTACAATTCTTCTAGTTTGATGAGTACGGACTTGAAGTATTAGTAGTTTTATCACAATTTATTTTAAGATTATTTCTTTGGGCAAAGTTTAGAAAGTCATTATTTTTCATTACGGTTCGATTATTAACTTCTTCAAAATTGTTGCCTCTTACTATGGCAGTAGAATCATCAGCAAAAATTACAAGTAAAGCAGCTACTATACTAAGTGGCATATCATTAATATAGGTTTAAAAGCTAGTAGGGCCAAGGATCGTGCCTTGCGGCACTCCCATATCACTCGAGATTACATCAGATTTTATCACAGTTACAAAATTATCACATCCGACATTTTGCAGTTGCACATATTGCTTACCATTTGTTAGGAAACTATGTAGCCACTGTCTAGTCCATATTTTTTTAATTTATTAATTAACAGTGGAGGGTATAGAGTTCCAAAGGCGTTACTAAAGTCGTACAAAATTACATTAACTTTTTCCTTTACCTCAAGAGCATCATAAAAATTTGTAACGTAATTATATTGGACTGTGACAGTACTCTAATTTTTACAGAAACCATGCTGTTCTGGTGTAATAATATTGGGGGAGATTCAATAGACTTAGCTCTCCCGTGATAAAAGATATCCCGGGATAGATCCAAAGGGATAAAATTTAGACCACTGTCTCGGGTTAAATATTTTTAGTCCCGCCTTCAATTTTTCTCCCCAAGTCAATGGGGGATAACTTCCCTTAGCCCCCTCTACGGGATAAATATTTAACCCGCGCTAAAATCAAATCAGCTGGTAATTAAAAGGTCGTCAACATGCTCGCGAACTTTTTAGATTTTGGCCAATTGCAATGAACAAAAATCTTTTTCAAATCAGAATTTTGTGAGGATCACGGAAATGAGGGCAAAATTGAAATCTAAAGCTAACACAAAAATCTGTATCTAACTTAATTTAAAATTGCTTATTTATTTTGCTCAGAAATTTCTAAAGACCTCTTCATCAAAGCGAAATTATACAAGGATTTTTTTCTTTTGAAATTTTGTGCACGTTAAATTTTTCGACCCAAAATAATTAAAATTCTGAAGCTTATTTTTTTATTTGTAGATAAATTAAATTTGCTAATTAATTTTTAATTACAATTAACATATAAAAAAAGGAAAAAATTCCTACAAAACGACTACAAACGACTCCAAGTTGAATACAAATTCACTACAAAACGACTACAAACGACTCCAAGATGACTACAAACGACTCCAAGTTGACTACAAATTCACTACAAAACGACTACAAACGACACCAAGATGACTACAAATTCACTACAAAACGACTGCAAACGACTTCAAGATGACTACAAATTCACTACAAAACGACTACAAACGACTCCAAGTTGACTACAAATTCACTACAAAACGACTACAAACGACACCAAGATGACTACAAATTCACTACAAAACGACTGCAAACGACTCCAAGTTGACTACAAATTCACTACAAACCGACTGCAAACGACTCCAAGTTGACTACAAATTCACTACAAAACGACTACAAACGACTCCAATAAGCCGTCAACTATTTCAACTGTTGAACCAGGTGACCTTGCTGTCAATTTTTAAACAAAAAGGTCAGCCGCTAGAAATAAATAATAAATAAAATAAAATCAAACATTTTCTTCACATTGGCTGAGCGTTCATTGTAGTTGCACTTTTGAAAGCCGGCAGCCATAGCCAGCCACTGGTTCAATTAATACTTGATTAGATAGCAATAAGAAAAAGATTTATTTGCCCAAATTAACTTTGACAAAAAGGTATTTAAATATTTGGGAAACACTTAAGATGAAAGAAAAGCAAATTTTTTTTCTTTCTTTTTCACATTCACTAATTTTTTTCCTTTTTTATTTGTTAAGTGTAATTAAAAAAATACCTAATTTAATTTATCTACAAATAAAAAATATAAGCTTGAGAATTTTAATTTTTCAGAGTTGAGAAATTTTACGTGCAAAAAATTTCAAAAGAAAAAATCCTTGCATAATTTCGCTTTGATGAAGAGGTCTTTAGAAATTTCTCAGCAAAATAAATTAGCAATTTTAAATTAAGTTAGATACAGATATTTGTGTTAGCTTTGGATTTCAATTTTGCCCTCATTTCCATGAACCTCACAAAATTCTGATTTGAAAAAAGTTTTTTGTTCATTGCAATTGGCCAAAATCTAAAAAGTTTGCGAGCATGTTGACGACCTTTTAATTACCAGCTGATTTGATTTTAGCGCGGGTTAAATATTTATCCCGTAGAGGGGGCTAAGAAAAGATATCCTCCAATGACTTGGGGTGAAAAAATTGAAG